CCGAAATTCATGATTCTATGGAACCGAAATGGCTATGACTGTTGTACCCACCCATACGGATTCCTACCATTCGGTACTACTGGTTCGTACGCATTTATTTTGCTGGTTCAATTATTTACTAAATTATGTTCTTCATCTAAAACACACGTCGGATAACTACATAATATAAATGTTCAAACATTATCAGTTAAGTACAGTACTTAACTCGGGATCAAATCATTTTTATTACATTTTAGTAGCGAAAGTTTCTATCAAATGCTGTAAAAATTGACAATATACACATAAGAACATATACCGGAACAGTTTGCCCACTGAGTTTCTCGTCGGATCTTCTCAGTGGGTCGCGATACCGTCCCGGTGGTAGATTCTGCGAAGAACTGATCTATCAGGCTATCAGCTTAGGTAGGAAAAAAAAGGAACAGTTACAAACGGACACTGTATTTTTACCTACCGGAATAATAAAACTAGGTATTTTAAAAAGGAAAGTTGATATTTACTTCCTCCCTTGTCGCTTTCGCTTTATGATTCTAAAGCAATTATGAAAACTAGACGGAACGAGTCTGGACAAGCATTGGGCTAAGTATGCATGTTTCAATTTTTTTGCAAAAAAATTTTTGCCTTTGTAGTCAGACGAGCATACGGCCCACCTGATGGTGAGTGGTTACCGTCGCCCATGGACTTCAGCAATGCCAGGGACAGAGCCAAGCCGCTGCCTACTGTTTAATACTCTCCACAAGCCTCGTTTGAAGAAGGACATGTCATAGCGCTCGGGAAACACCGTGGAGGGGAATTTCTTGAATTATTAAAATTAAATGTTACTATATATTTAGGTCCGATATTTCAATGATACGGAGTGATAATGTTGAGTGATGGAACATGAAAGGTAATTTTGTGTGATCAAGTAATGAAATTACGTCATCATTTAAAAATATTATTTAAAAAAGTAGCAAAGTGCGTTATAAATTAAATGGCAACATTTGCGTTACGGGAAAGACGTAGCATTCAATGGCAACGATTACATTTGAGAACTTCATAGCCGATTTAATTTATTTCGTCAATACAAGAGTACTGTTATCCTTTCCAAGCACTGCATTAAGTTTATTAAGTTTGCTTTTAATGAACGCCACATCAAACTGTTCAATTCATTCATAGGATTTATACCAGGCAAGCCTGCGAATGGGCCTTATTTCAAACCGAAAAAATATTGTACCTTTATTTCAACTGCATAGCGCGTAATGTGATACCGCATTTGGTTCCCAGAATTGTGCTATGAGAGAGGGTGGGGGTGGTTATCCCTCAGTAGTCTTCGCTTTAGAAATATATAAACTCACTAAAACGTCTAAAACATATTTATTTTCGCAATTGTTGATCAGTCACCCATGCTCATGGATGTGACCATTTCCAACAGCAATCAATCTTAACCAATGTTTAAAGTACTTTAAGCTGAGGCACACTAATCACTTTACACTCGGAATTAGTTTAAGAATGTACGCATTTTCAAAGTCAATCCGCTTCAAATAAATCCTTATAAATTAAACAAAACTTAATTAATTAAACTCGAAATAATTTTAAAATTCATTTAGTGTATAAAGAATTAAATTAATTATTATACATTCTGTGTATGGGAAGCGGTCCCGGCCCCCGCTGGGCCCACAAATACTTATGTTAAAACTTTCAAGTTAATATAAAATGACTGTTTTTGTTTTTTATTATTGAAATAATCTGTATTCTTGTTTCGTATTATTCGTATTTATTAAAAAATTGTTGTCAAAGTCAAGAATTGTTGATATAAATTACTGTAGCTTATGAGTGTCCATTTTCGTAATTTCCACCATTCGTATAAATAATGTGATCTTTCTTTGGAATCAAGTTTATTAAAAATAGTTTTTAGCTATCGCTTTGTCGAAATGCTTATGAAAAAAAGATGCCAAAACAAACGAAAGAAATATTTGAAAAGTTACTAACCCCTTTTTTCTGGCTATTTTACAGCAGCGGCACTCGGTCCATTTGATTTTAGTATTGCAGCACATACACACCATCACACAGCTGTGAAATGCACCCAATTTCAGAAATGAGGTCGAAGATTCAATTCGTTTTTAAGTTAAAAACGGAATCCTTCGCCTCTTAGTAGGCAACAATTACGCAAACCAACCAGTACTTACCTAATATCGAACAAAGTTCGGTAGGTACGAATTCTCTTTAAAAAATCGTCGTCCAGGGCAATCCCAGCCATATTTCTGATTCAACAAGTAAGGTACACGTGTTCCCTAACCTACTGGACTGTGGACGATTCGAAACAAAATTTAAATTATTAGAAATTTATGAATTTAATTGCTTGGTGTTCGAATGTTAATATGTCTCTAACTAATAACTATACTAGTGTTTTCAAAGAATGTGCTTTCAAGAATTCGCTTCATTGTTTTTTTTAACAATTTGCGCGCAACAATGTTTTCAATGAGTTGTACAATCAATATCACCTTATGTTTAACAGATTTACCCAGAAAATGTTGTTTGGTGCGAATATCGAATATTTCAGTGTAAAGCATGAAAATAGAAGCTTTCTTAAACAATGTTCGTGATTAAAGAGTAAACATTCGACGATCTACTCTCAAAATTTTCGGAACATGCCCCACAAAAGTCAGCTTTAAATTTATCAACATAAGGTTCTTCATTCGAGATTATTCTCATTCGAGTGTTTAGCTAACGGAATGTTTACCGTAAAATTTGAAGACAAGAGTTGAGGTTTCTTTGAACGTTCATACATGAAGACGGAACGTGTTGACTGCACTCAAGGCTCTCGATCTCTTCCCGCAATCGTTTACAAACAGACGATGATTTAATTTATACAAGATTAAATAATTTTTCGAGGAAAATTCTTGAACGATGTTTTTGTTTTAGGCTATATACACGTGTACACATGTATGTTNGTAAAATTTGAAGACAAGAGTTGAGGTTTCTTTGAACGTTCATACATGAAGACGGAACGTGTTGACTGCACTCAAGGCTCTCGATCTCTTCCCGCAATCGTTTACAAACAGACGATGATTTAATTTATACAAGATTAAATAATTTTTCGAGGAAAATTCTTGAACGATGTTTTTGTTTTAGGCTATATACACGTGTACACATGTATGTTGTATTAATTATTTTTAATTGTGTAGCTGGGTGTACGAGTTCACGTTCTGGCGTAATGTGGGTACCAGAGACCATAGATATCACAACTTGATTGTCACATGTCAGTCTCAATTATACTGGTGGTAGGACCTCTTGTGAGTCCGCGCAGCTAGGTACCACCACCCTACCTATTTCTGCCGTGAAGCAGTAGTGCGTTTCGGTTTGAAGGGTAGGGCAGCCGTTGTAACTATACTTGAGACCTTAGAACTTATATCTCAGTCTATGGGCTCCAGTAACCACTTAACACCAGGTGGGCTGTGAGCTCGTCCACCCGTCTAAGCAATAAAAAATAAAAAAGGAGTGTATAACTGCCCCGCCTTCCAAACCCGAACACATGAGATTTTCGACCCAGGCGACAGAGTAACGTAAAGCCGCCGTCAGCCTAAGCAGTTCATATGGGATATGGGATCCTTCCGATCCATTCTCGGTACTTTTCACCGATCGCCGTTCTCGTCGAACTAAACGCATGTGACGAAGAATTTGATGTGCAACCTAGTCTATAGACACAACCCACTGAGTTTCTCACCCGATAGTCTCAGTTGGTCGCGATTCCCATGCGGTGATAGACTCAGCGAATCACTGCTCTTACTAGGACTAATGTTAGCAACTCCTCCCAGGTTCAGCGTTACCAAACCGTGCGTAACTGAAATAGCCCCTTAGGCTATCATAGATTAGGTAGGGAAAAAAGGAACACTTATGATGCTATTCTAACACTAAACAGGCGGTTTTCATAGTCGGGACTAGTGATCAGACCTTCAACTTTACATTTCAAAGCAAACTTAGACGTGTTCACACAATCTTTTTAGTACTTCTACAGGATGCTAATACAATAAGTTGAACATAAAACTGTAAAATATTGTTTTTCATCTGCAATTTATTTCGAAAGTTTATGTTCCGTGAACTGGTATGAAATGCTATCAGCTGTCAACTTGTGTTTAACACGTCAAATGTGGGCACTTATGAAGACCAATGTTATAGCCACCAACATTTTGCAATATGCTATAGTTATAGACATTAAGTGAAGAAAATATTAACTTACTAGTGTCAAGTGGCTATCAGGGTTCATTGACATGAAAAAGCTGCAGTTAACCTAGTCTTCTTACACTAGTGTACTGATGAATGATTAGGAATTGATACATGCACTATTAAGCATTACAAATTCGTATCTAATTTATTAGTGACATATTTATAGTTATGTATTTGGTAGCTATATTAATAGTCTGTTAAATTTCAATTAACTTTATTTCTAAAATGTATTTTTCATCTCGCACAAAGCTTTTCATTTTTGGGAAGGTAAAAATTCAGTACAAATGAATATAATAGGAGTGTTCTGAGGAATTGTTCGAGATGATACCGGCATCTCTTTTTTATCATCGCACCGCCCGCCACCAGAGTAGAGTTCATCCATACTACCTGGAGCCACTGCGATCATCCACAGTGCGTTTCCAGAGGTCTTTTTTGCCACGTACCATCCGGCTATGGAATGAGCTCCCCTCCACGGTGTTTCCCGAGCGCTATGACATGTCCTTCTTCAAACGAGGCTTGTGGAGAGTATTAAGCGGTAGGCAGCGGCTTGGCTCTGCCCCTGGCATTGCTGAAGTCCATGGGCGACGGTAACCACTCACCATCAGGTGGGCCGTATGCTCGTCTGCCTACAAGGGCAATAAAAAATTAATAAAAAAATTGTATAATATGGTCATATACAAGACCTAGGTTAGTTAAATTTAATCCAACAATTGGAGGCCTATCAGTATCCACGCTAACAAGTTCATCAATCATTCAGAATTATACAGATTAAATTTACATACAAAAACGAGTAATAAAGCATTTCTTTTCTTTTATCTTCTGTCATTTATTAACTACATTTAATCTATAAAATATAACATATTTAATAAGTTTCTTCAATTAAAAATTCTTTGACTGCATTACTATATTTCTGTGGTAACATTTCATCGAGTTCTTTACGTGTTAACCAATTCACTTTAGACTTTGTAGGATTGCCACTTTTGTAGTTTGCATAGTAGAAAAAAATCTGAAACAATAACATTTTACCTTAAAATTTCTATTCCAGAGTAATAATTATTAAAGACGTTTAACAACTAAAAAAGTACTGCTTCTATCACATTAATACATTCCAGAAAAAAATATTAATATACATAACATACTTTGGCGCCAACTTTTCCATTCATTTCACTGGGATATTTATATTTGTAGAATCCACATGGAGCATTTGAAATAAATTTTATCTGAAGTTCAGATCCGATTTGCTCCTTAACTATTCTTTCAGCAGTCTGAAATAGGAACAAATAAAAAAAAAGTTAATCAAAATAATTATTCTTGAGTGCTATTGTAGCATTATGTGCCGAAAGTGGCATCTTGAATCTAACAACAATTTAAATAAAATGTTACTTATTATACTATACATATTTTACAAGTGCACAAGAAAATTTGCAATAAAAACAACAAAGCCTAGTTGCTGATAAATATGTTCTTTGTAGAAGTTTCATAAAAACGTAACTGGGCCAGACAATGATTAGCTATTGAACTACAAGTTACTTGATGCCCTTAACTATGCCAAGGAATGCATAAGATGGAAGGAAATTGTACATGAGAAAATGATGCAGCTACGGAGTCATGACCCTCAGCAATGAGAAAACCGATGCGAGGATGAGGAGGATGAGTTTAATAAGAACAATTTTTTTTTTAATTTTTTTACAAGTTTTAGCTGGAACATAATTTTCACTAACTTCAAAACATACGATTAACTCGAAAATTTGCACCCACATTAAGGACCAATGAGAATAAAATATTTTTATAAATTTACTCTAATAACCTCACGATTATGAACAGGATAAAAAGAATGAAATCAATTGCTATTTATGTACATTTTTTTCAGTTTTTAAACTTTATATTACTATTTTAATGTTTTTTATTTTATTATTATTTATTTAGCTGTATGCACAAAAGTACAGTGGCAGACTTAGCGGACGGAGGCCGGCCTCAGGCATTCTCTACCAGTCAAACAAGGGTGGTGTAGAGTATAATCTAACCTGACGTAGTGTCTCGCCCTCCTGCCAATGCCCCTGAGGAAGTAATGTCTTTGAATCATTTCCTAATTTCCGTTGTGTCACAAGAACTAGATGTCGTTGTAAGCATCGTTCTGTTGATGTTTTGTCACCTTTTTTGTCTGCATCTACAATAAGATTTAACAGTGTTCAATCAGCACAGATCATTGGTTAAGCTATTAGTGAGCTACCTGAGAAGCTTGGTTATATTACACTGTTTAACTGAGAAGTTTAACCCAGACAACTAAGTAGTGTCATTTAGTTGGGTATTCTAAAAGCAAGTAATATTTTTATGGAATTTGTACTATTTTTCGTTTTAGATTTTAATAAATTAATTAGCAATTGAAAAACTATTAATAACCGCTCTATTAATTATAGCTCTTGCAATTGAGAACTAAGATAAATAAATTAGTTTTTCATAATATGTGTAAAATATGCTTCATTTATTATAAGCTTTCTTTTATTTATTACTTAGATGGAAGAACTTGCTGACGACCCAACCAAGAGCCCATATAGATCAACATCTTAAATGCCACCACCCACCTTGAGATATCAATACTGAGTCTCAGTCTTATAATACATATCTGTCCATCAAACAAAACCCATTACTACCTCACAGCAGGATGTAGGTACCTACATGTGCAAGCTCACAACACACTCTATCACCAATAACTACCCAAAATTTAATTATTTTTATTTAATAATTGAATCTCAGCTAAATTTTATTTATACACAAAATATTATTTTAATAACTTAAAAGTACATGTTATTTATTATCTGCAACACGCTTCGTCAGATTACAGAAATAGAATTATCAGCAACACGCTTACTCAAAAAGTACAATACTTCCTTTCAGCTACAAGCGTCGTCATAAACCCAAATTATATGTTTGCATGTTTAACCTATATTAGACCATTTTATTCCTTTAACAGGGAAGTTGTTCGTGGACATTTGTATAATACATATTTCATTAGAAAAATCAGTACCTGCCTGTGGGATCTCAATACCAACAGAGTTGCATTGCTTGATATGAATTTTTCGTTCATACCTGTTTCTAAATTTCCAAATTTAAATTTTGAATACTCTTCATTTGCTGCATCTTCAAAATCTTGGGCGGTAACTTTATTAACAGCATCAATATCAACATCTTGGGATTCAGCCTTGAAAAGTTCAGCTTGTTTTCTGCAATGTATTTCTAATAAAACATAAAGTAACATGGTTTGCATACAAAAGTTTTAAGGACACACAGCATTCACAAGACAAGACTGATAAATTTTGGAGATCCTAGAAACTCAGAGGTCCTGAGATCAGACTCAAAATAACTACCTGTACAGGATTATCAGCTACATGTGTCAGCCTTATTTTGAAAATAAATTTATATGAAAGTGTATTTTATTTTTTTAATTAGACATACATACATACTTGTCATTTTCGTGTTGAATTTCATGGTTTGATTTCATGCTTTTCTCAAATTCTACGGTCAATAAAAATTCTTTATATTTTTTTTGCATTTCAGTTAACGGCGGAGTTACGACTGGTAACCGTTCAATGCAAATACCCGTCAATATATCCCAAGCTGGCTTGCTACTAATACCTAAATAAAATCAGGAATATAAAAAACTTTTTAGCCGTAACCAACATTTATGAATTTTGTACATCATCCCTGAACAATACATACTTCTTATTAAAAGCCTGTGGTAATAAGTTATATTCATACGCATCAATGTCTTAACCAACATTTTGATGAATAGTTTACCGTATATATGTCGTCACTTAATTCATTCAGGTATTTAATAGAAATAAAATTGATTTAATCGAGAACACTTTGTTGGTTATCTTTATAGGGATGGGCCGAGTCAGGTAGACTTTCGAGTACTTTCGACCGAATATCGTAATCGTGATCCGAATACAAAAATCGGAGTACTTCTATCGTGATCTGATCGTTTCATTAATGAAGTCAATTTTGTATTACAATACGAAAAATATGTATATATACAATAGTAATTACTATTAGAATTCGATTAAAGTAGTATATGTTGCATAAATAGTTCATTTGCTAAATTTGGAAATTCTTGAAATGTTAATAATTTATTTTTTCATCTCAAAAGACGGCATTAATTATCCCGGCATTATTCGACAAGACTTTAAGGTCATTCCTTCACTGCTAAGGTTATTCGTTCCTGGAAGGGACTCTTATTACGTTAGGAACATACTAAAAATTCTATCTATTTTTACTTATATTTTAATCATTTTTTTTAGAAATGAAACACGTTGGAATTGTTGGTTGCAGTGAAATATTCGCTCACTCGAGGAACAATCGAGTCATTCTTCAAGAGTAAGCACTAGTGATAACTTTTCCTCGTTCATTGCCTAGGCAAAGGGTATATAGCTCATAAATCAATCATCGGTTCCAAAGGCATATCTGTTTTTTTTTTAATGTATTACATAGAACTAGTAATTATGTAGATGAAAGTAATTATAAAGCTGAATTAATTGTGATAAATGAACACCGTAGATGTTAATATGAAATGAAATAGCCCCTCAATACATTGGTAAGACCTTACTGAGACTTTTTGAAATATCCCCAAAATTCACATCCAACAATATTTAACTTTTTGCCACATGTGTGCTTTCACGGTTGGCAAAAGGTAAATAAGCCGTAATTTTAAAATAAGGAAGAACTACTAAATTTACACAAAAAATAGACAACTTTAACTTGTCACCTCATATTTGAAAAACTTTTCGTAATTTTAAGTAAATTAATTACAATGTTTGAAATGTATTTATATACTTTTGTGAAATGGCTGTCCCTACCGTATTTGTGGCACAACCGAGCTGAATGGTTAAATTCGATAATGGTAATCCTTTTGACGTCATCATGGCCTAAAGAATAAAACACCCGGTGCGTTTGTATCAACCGATGCAACGATGTTCGAATCCCGCAGACAGGTACCAATTTCTCTAATAAAGTGCAAAACATATTATTATGTTTATGATTGACTTCCAAGGTGAAGGGATAACATCTTGTATTAAAAATTAAACCATAACTTAACTTGACTTATAATGTGCGTAATTACTGGTGGTAGAACAATTCCTAAGCCCGCACGAATAGTTACCACCACCCAACTGCTTACTGTGGGTTTCTTTTTGTGAAAATATTTAAACATAATATTTTAGCAAATCGTTAACCGATTATAGAAGTGAGGGCTATAAAATCATACTATAAACATGCTACTGTATGATGATTAGTGGTTAGCGGAGTTCATAGCATACATGCATAGCGTGAGTATACTCTCTCTCTCTTCTTCAAGCTGTGTCCGCACAATGCTGAGTGTAGCTCTTCACATGCACTCCATTAATTTCAGTCTGCTGCTGCCTTTCGCATCCAGTCTTTATCAGGAAATGTACTACTCAGCTTTAAATAACAGCGTGATGGTGAATAGGCTCAAGTTATGTTGCTATTAATCTTTATTTCATTTAAACTTTGTACGTAGCTTTTTAAATAAATTTAAATTCGGGTGAAAGTTTTTAATTCAATGAGGAACTTCTTTTCGGCTAATAAAATACATAGAACAGAAGATTACTTCTCTTTAATTGTAGACTATATGGCTAACATTCCCTTTGCTGATATATCAGTCAAATTGAAGCAAAATAAATCTTACTCTTTGATTTAAACGTCATAGGGTTTGAAGTTTGATTTCATTAGGTCCTCAGCATAGTTAACTCAAATATATTAAGTGTATAATCTATGATAGTTAATACCTACATATAATATTTAAAATAATCAGCCTTTAAAAAAGCTTTTATTGTAATAAAACGAAAAAAATATAACTAATATTAGTTATGTTGTAGATCCAGTCCTCATCATTAAGGTTGTAAAAAAAATTTACATCCCAAAAACGATTCTTATTAGGTATTGCAATGGATATCGAACCCGCAGCCAAAGAACACCGCGATTTTGAAATGGACAAACCATCGAAATTCGGCTTAAAACTTCCCTTAGATCATGAATTTCCCCTGAAGAGCAAGCAGATTATAATTCCAAGACCAAAACAAATACTGGACATGATACCGCTTTCAGTCAGGTAAGTAATTAAACGAATTTATAATAATATGATGATTTAATATGATGCTTTAATTTCATGATAACATGTAACTAAAGCTGGTTAATTTATAATAATGGCTAAACTGTTTCCTTAGGTATTTCAAGTATTGTTTGAGCAAAAAACTGCGTAAAAGGCGTCCAATAATGGATTATTTCCAAATGATTTCAGCACAGCGAATGTACGGTAAGTAAAAAATTACCTAAAAATCAATTTGATGCAAGTAAAATTATTAAAATAAATATTATAAATATTTTTTTTAGGATGTCCCATTGGTGGAATTGGAGGTGGAACCATAGGGAGGGGTTTTAAAGGGGAATTTTGTCGTTTTCAACTACATCCTGGTATATATGAATATGTCACTGTCCCAGAATGCCAGTTTATTGTAAACATAAGGAATGCTAACAATGAGACAATATTCCAATCAGTTCTTTCCACCTACAGGTAGGTCTGTAAACCATTAAGTCTTCACTGTATTGTAAATTCTGAACTCCAGGAAGGCTATGAATTTTTGTTTACTCATGTCTGCTTGTTTTTTAAATAATTTTTCAATATTTTAAATAGAATTTTTAGGATTTAAAATAAATTTTTTTTTTGTGTGTTTGTCTAATTTTATACAGTCTTAAACAGTTAATTTTCAAAAAGAACTCTAAATCGGCATAATGGAAAAGCAAATAGCCCTGAAAAATATGATTTTTCTTTATCAGCAAGATTGTAGTAAATTGATGTATTAAGATATAAATGTATAATGGAAATATTAATAAGAAGTTTGTAATGGCTGCTTCACATAATACTTTGTAATTTTTAGCAAACCAAAAAAAGCCCCGGCATCTTGGGAATGGAACCTTGATGGTGCAAAATGTGAATACACAGCACTGTATCCGAGGGCATGGACAACATATGATCTGTCAAAATATGGCGTGAAACTTGTGTGTAGACAAATATCACCAGTAATACCTCATAACTATAAGGTTAGTATTATTACAATATAAAATAAACATTGTTGATATTTTGAATCCTATTTTTTGGTTAGATGATTGCTTAGATGATTATTATTGACATTACAAGTATCTTGTATCAGCATTAAAAAATAAGATAAAAATTTACACCAAATCAGATAATTTTAGTGAAATGTTCATTGTTAGCTAAGGACAAGTGGCCCACTGATGGGCCTAGTGTAGTATACCTTTCGAGCCAAGCCAAAAGCATGGAATCACTACTTTTTATCAACTTGAGATTTTAATTCTGAAATTTATAAAATGCGTTATTTTGCAGGGAAGATAAAAATTACTGACTTTTACTGTCTAGTTCTTAAGATATTTTAAAAGGCTATAATCTTTATAAAAATTACAACCTATTAGATTTGAAAACCAAGGTGTTTGGTTCTGTTAAAGGGTAATGCGGCTTACTTCCAGGTGTGTTTTGTTTCATAGCAAATCTGCGGCTCGTAGGAAAGGCTTACGTTGTAATCCTCACCTGATTTACGGGTGACCCTCGTGGCCCGAACGGTTCTGTAAAATAACGCTCACTGGTGAGCACTGTGACTTGAATGAAAATACCCAATTTTTCATTTGGCGTTCACATGTTAATAAAAAATTCTATTACTATTTGAATATTTTATTTAAAATAACATAAATTATTTACATAATTTTGATGATCAGTGATGCAAATATTATGGGGACTTTAGAACCTTAATGGGGCGAATTTGAACCATTCTCAAAAACAGACAGGATCGCAGCTGGCGATCTTCTTGCAAATATCATTCACTGGTGGACTGAAGCCTGGAGTACAAGGGCGAGGTTCTCGCTACGAGTTTACGCTTTTTTTTTTTATTGCCCTTGTAGGCAGACGAGCATACGGCCCACCTGATGGTGAGTGGTTACCGTTGCCCATGGACTTCAGCAATGCCAGGGGCAGAGCCAAGCCGCTGTCTACCGCTTAAAACCGCATTTCATCTCACATCTAAATGATATGCTGTTTATTGATGGAATGTAAGTCTATATGGACTAGTGGCTCCACAGTAGTCGAAATTCGACTATAATAAATGGAAATTATAAGTTTGACCATTATTATGATTCTCTTGTCAAAGAATATACTTTTATAATCACAGATTTCGTCAAGACTACACTATAGACAATCTATTCTCAATTTGACCTCATACTTTAAACAATAACAAAAGTTTGACAGTAAACAAAAGAGTATATATGCGTGCGTGTGTCAAATACATGGTAGTGTGCGTAATGTTTTTTAAATGTATAAAGTATTTTTTATGCAAAATTAAAAAAAAGGTCTGCATTCTGCACTCCTCTATATTCTCGATTAGTGTGGGAAATTTTATACTCCTCCGTCCGCGCAATTTTCGTAAAAAAGGGTACAAAGTTTTTGCTTCACGTATCTATATGGATATCGATGATAGCATGCGCGATATAACATGCACTTTATGTTGCTCTACTTTATTCAAATGTAGTTTTCGGAGAGTGCCCAGGCGTAGTCGCCGGCTTGATTGTGCCAGTGACATCGCTGACGTCGTAGGCTGGCCGTATGCTTGTCTACCTACAAAAGGAAATAAAACAGAATCAAAAAGAGTCTTTGCATAAGTTTGTTAGCAGTTTTTTTGCAGAGATTAATTCCTCAAGTTAATTGTGACATTGATTTGTGTGCATTTATGTTTGCGACCTCATGATAATCATATATACATTAAATATTCTCTAAAGTCGTAGGCAATGTATGCTAAATTTCCGAACATGCATTTTCTATTACTGTATTAAAAAATGAAGTCGAATCAGCAGATATACTCATTCATAAATTTATTCTTATCTTGGATTGATATCTGTTACTGATACTTTCAGTAAATAAAGGGTGCTCCAAATTATGAAATTGTACAAATATATAATTTATCAATAGATAGGTAGATAAGCAAACCTATTTATTTTTCGAATATTTTTCTTTGAAAATAACCTTTGAGGAAATAAAATTCAAGTAATTCTACACATGATTAATGAATTGCTAAAATAATATAATCACACATTTCAAATGTTAACGCCTATTCCAATATGTAATGCACTAAAATTTCAAGTTTTAACGTCAAGTTTTCTAAGGAAATTCGATCCTGAAAACTTACTCTCGGGGAAGGCCAAGGATGAATAATAGTTTCAAAGAACTAACAAAATACGCTTTTATAGAAAAAAAAAGCGTGGAGTGCATGGTATCAGTAGTTATAAATATTATATGAACAGATATGACTAGAATGGTTATTTTGATAATATCTTGAAAAGCACCTCACGGTTTTTTACAATAAAATCATTTTTTCTTACACTATTTTTAATTCAAATTTATTAAAATTTATTTTCTATTTTTTAGTTGGATTTTCTATAAAAGCGTATTCTTTTTTAAATATTTAATTGTCATCGGTCCTTAATAAGTATACCAAATTTCGAGTTAATCCGACGTTTTGAAAGGGTCAAAATCATGTTCAAAGATTCCGTTCCAAACATACATACGTCTGAAGTTAATAAAAGCGTTTTAAAAAGACATAAAACACACACACACACACGAATCATGATGAAAACTCTTTTAATCAATCGAGATTTGAATTTCGAGAAACTGTTCTACATTAACATTCCACAGGACAGCAGTTTGCCGTGTGCAGTTTTTGTTTTTACCGCGACGAACACCACGGATGAGCGCAGAGACGTGAGCATCAGTTTCACTTGGACCGAAGTACTGGGATGTTCAAATAAGAAGAAGTCATTAGGTAAGCAGGTTATTTTTTATTGCAATGTTGGTTGTACGAGCTCACAGCCCACCTGCTGTTAAGTGGTTACTGGAGCCCATAGACATCCACAACGTAAACGCGCCACCCACCTTGAGATACAAGTTCTAAGGTCGCAGTATAGTTACAACGGCTACCCCGCCCTTCAAACCGAAACGCAGTACTGCTTCACGGCAGAAATAGGCAGGGTGGTAGTACCTATCTGTGCGGACCCGTATATTACTTTTGCAAATTGGGGTCACGGGCTTGTAGAAACATCTATAGGCTTAAACTCAGTATGCCCATACCTAGCTCGCCTACCTAGCTCGCGTACCTAAGTGTATTATGAGTTATTAGCAGAAAAAAATAGGTGTAAAACTTCTGAAATTGTCGATATCTATTCACTTTAAACCGTTAACGTGTTTACTTGGTAAATGATATTGGGAGATTTATCGGTATGACCCGAATAGCATGATATCGGCAGACCGATATGACAAAAGCAAATATGTAAAGTAATATCAGTTCAAAATTAATTTTCCTTAAGAATTCTGATTCACGTTCACGAAACGCTCTATTGACATTTCAAAATTGAAACCTTCAATGCGAATTAACGATTGAGAGCATTGGCAATAACAATAATTAGTATCTTCCAAATGCGTTCGCACTTAGCCGTTGTTATTGAATAAGAAAACTTTATAAATAATTCTTAATTAAAAATCTTAATCATTTAATCATTAATTAGCTTTGATTAACGAGAAAAAGTAGAGTAGGCCTCTCGTAGTACAGGTTGAATTGTGTTTTTTTCCTACCTATTCTAGTAACCTCAAGGGGTTAATTCTAGATTCACCGAAATAGTATGTGAGCTCACGGGGCTCAAACCTGACGACGTTGTTAACACTGATCCTAGCGAGAGCAGTGCTTCGCAGAATCTACCACCGGATCAGAAACGCGACCCACTGAGAAGATCTGGCGAGAAACTCAGTGGGCTTTGTCTGTGGGTCAATTTACTTGCTGAGCCGTTCGTCGCAAGCGACGGTTGCGACGAGAACGATGACCGGTGGTAGTGGTTGGTTTACCTAAAAGCATTGTTATTGGATCGGGAGGATCCGAAATGACGTGTTTTGGGCGACGTAATTGTGATTCACAATCGAACGTTGTATGAGTCAACGTAACATTGTATGTAAATATGTAGGTAAATTCTGTTTTTATTGTATGTTTTTTCAATAATAATGATTACTTTTCTGAACGCAGCTAAACACTATGAAGATAATACATTCGTGAAGAAACATTAATTTTTTTTACATCACAATTCTAGTACTTTGCAATCCAAGACCAATTTTCGTCCTATGTACATATTCCTAATTATTTTTTGTCATAATTGCTTAGTTCTGCTGTCATACAATCTAGTTCAAAAGAGTATTACGGCAGCGTCGCTGAAACCTGTCCTGGTGAAACTGGAAAGGCCTCCGGGCCACCAGTAATCCTTCAATCATAAAAAAAGTATTACGGCTATTAATTACAAAACAATTGAGATCTTGATGTTATGCACTTTTTATGTGCATTTCTCAGAGGCCGCTAACTACGGTGGCACAAAGCGATTCAGTGTGCTAGTGCGAGCTTCTCAACGTTCTCGATAGCGTAAAAGTTAACTCAAATTTGTATGGAGTTGCAACGTTAGCCTAAGTTTGTCGCTAGGGGCGCTGTTCTAACTGCATATATTTTGAGTTAACTTTTACGCTATCGAAAACGTTAAAAAACTTGCACTCAGCACATTTCGTTCTGTGAATCTAGTATAAAATCTCGAGGTTACTAGATAGATAGGAAAAAAAACCAAGCACACAGCTCACATAAGATACATGCTCACATCACATAAGAAAAAATGTCCCTCGCGGGCCTATATTGCAACAATACAATAATAGCTCCTTATTTGCACCTCATTCATTCGCGTTTTCACTATTCGCAGATTAAATAAAATGCGCCCTAAGTTATATATATTCGCGGCTTAACATTTCTCAATTTGCGGATCTAATCGCTACATCGGTATATACACACTGATAAAAAAAATTCCAATATGTAGGTGTCCAACCGAATATCTTTTGTAAACGAGTCGTCAAATAAACTAATAAAAAAGTAAAATAGACCTTATCACAACTGTGCCTAAAGTATGTTTTTATTTTGTCATCTAGGAACGTACCACCTAGAATCCCATATATGTAAATTACCATTCCATGTTCACGGTTTCTTTAATCGCGGCATATTGACGGAACATATATCCCGCAAATACAGAGATTTTCTGTACTTTCAAAGTAGTTTTTTTTCAGATAAAATCGATTTGGAAAGGTATTCTGAGGACTATACGTGCGGAGTTTCGTTAGAGCAAAGAATCGGCGAAAGTTTATGTACGTTTACGATAGCGAAAAAGAAAGTCGAAAACGAAACGATCCACCAGGGCTATTGCCTGTGGAACGCAGCGAAGACGTCCAACTACGTTTGGGAATGCATAAAGAAAGATGGGAAGCTAACTCCGGATCCTAACTTAACTCCACCGCCGCCCAAACTTCCCGACAAAGACGCACAAAAGAAAAAGAAAGACAAAGAAAAAAAGAAACTGTATAAATGTGAGTATGAGTCGCAATTTGAAAGGAATTTCGTTAAATAGGTTTTCCTGATGCTATAAATGCAGGAATTCCCAAACTATATTGGGCAAGAGAATCATTTTCCAAAATAAACTAATACCACAGACCCCATATAGACATAATAATATTATTTAAAAAAATATATCTTTAGTTTTATTTGTATACTAATTCTTGAAAATACTTTTTGTGATAATTTAACAAAATAAACATAAAATTTTGTAAATAAAAGCAAAAGTAAGTTCTACGAAAATATTGATAATTAGCGGCCCGCTCCGGCTTCGCTCGGGTCTTTAACAATTTTTTTAGTAAGGATACCTAATTTTTGTAACAAAATAGCCTATGTCACTCGGAGATAGTGTAGCTTCCAAACAGTGATAGAATTTTTCAAATCGGTTCAGTAGTTTCGGAGCCTATTCAATACAAACAAACAAACAAATCTTTCCTCTTTATAATATTAGTATAGATTCTTGTAATTAGTTCGTAAACTTAACACAACTTATACAGTATCATGTAGTTAATTCATCAGTTTCAAATAAGAACTCGTTGGGATAAGAACAAATAATGGGGGTTGATTTTTAGACTTCTTCGATGCCCAAAATTTAGATTACGTTTCGGTCGACCCTTGTGAAACCGATATTGATCACTTTGGGAATTCCTGCCCTAATCTGTGTCGTTTAAATTATGTATGTTCAATACAAGATTGTGACAATCAATGCAACATTATACTTTTTTTCGAATTACTACCAAGACTATTAACCAAGGTTGACACTGAAAAACAAAACAAAACACGTGTGGCACTCAGGAACTGCCGCGGTAAAGCTATTGCATAGCATTTTTATCAACTTATGGAATTATAATTAGAGAATAATAATTTAATATTAAAACAATAATAAAATAAGACCACGCTATATTTATAAACATTAACAAAACAAAACATTAATTGTCCCCTTCACACTCATAAGCTAGACCGCGCGAGAGAGAGATGGGCAGACATTTCATGATGCGCATGCAGTGCGACGGGACGCCGCGCGCTTATTCACAAACACTACACAAGCGCAACGTGTGAATGTGTTGAACGCGAGCTACGTGATAAGCGGAGTGGGGGTGTTAGGTTTTATTTTCGTTTCAGAATTTCTTGATTCGGTCGCCGCGCTCAAAGCCCGCGATAAAGGCTATGCAATAGCTTAATAACTTTGATGTATATTTTTAGGTGATTCAGTCGCCCTGTCCAGCGTCATATCGTTAGATCCAGGGGGAGTTAGTTCAACGGAGTTTTGTCTGGCCTGGGATATGCCTGTAGTTAAATATAGAAACGACAAAAAAATTCACAGAAGGTAAATATATTTTATTTAATACAAGATCATGAATGTTAGCGTGGTGTACGCGATAAACTATGCATTTGTTAAATTAAGTACAATTTTATTCCGCATTGTAATACGTAAAAAAGTTTGAACCTAGAATCCTGTTTATTTTCATATGGCAGTTGACGGACGTACCCGCCCTAGTGAACCTATTGAAAATTTATATTTATTATTATATAGTTAGCATAGTGGTTTTTTTCACGAAAAATTATAAACACCCTGTTTATTACTGGTGATAGGGCGTCTTGTGGGTCCGCACGGGTAGGTACCACTATCCCGCCTATTTCTGCCTTGAAGCAGTAATGCATTTTAGTTTCAAGGGCGTGGCAACCGTTGTACTGTTACAAGTGAGATCTTACAACTCATGTCTAAAGGTTCGTGGCGGCGTTTATGTTGTAAATGTCTATGGGCTCCGGTAATCACTCAACACCGGGTGGGCCGTGAGCTCGTCCATCCATCTAAGCAATAAAAAAAAACATATACCAATTAGCAAATTACCTGACCTTGAAACTGTTTCAAACAATACAATCGTGGAATTATTATTTTCAGATTTTACACGAAATATTTTGGTAGTGACGGCATAGCCGGTGCGAGCATAGCTGCCTACGCTCTAAAGCATTACAAAAATTGGGAAAAACAGCTTCTTGAATGGCAGGAGCCAATTTTAACTAATTAGTAAGTATAAAGTAAAATAAATTTCTTTAAATCATTGTCACTGCACAATTATATATTTTATATATTAATATATAAATCTACAGTGGTTTTTACGGATGTTCCGTTATAACTACTGAACCATGCATCCGATTGACTTGAAACTTGGTATCCGTGTAGAAAATACATGTACTTAATGGATAGGCTAATATATTTATATGAGTGTTGGATTCCCTAATAATAATGACAATAAATAATAATGTTAATTTAAAATGCCCAGCAACGGCGGTTCCAGGGGGGGGGTCATGGGGGTCATGACCCCCCCCCCCCTGAGCTAGTTCCAGGACTTGAACTAACTTGGACTAATTGAAGAACATCATGATTTATTTATTATCTATTGTTATCAAAATTAAATTATAAGTTCTTAACTTGCCCACGACTATGTGACCCCCTCCTGGCGCCAAAGCTGGATCCGCCCTTGATGCCCAGCGAAGCGGGAGAGTACGGCTAGTAATTAATAAATATCATTTTTATTTAAGCAATATACCAGACTGGTTGAAAAGTGCCTTAATGAACGAGCTTTATTTTGTTGCCGATGGCGGAACGATTTGGTTTGATGCAAGCGACGAATTCCCAGAAACGGATCCTAGGTAAATATATATATCGAGGGGTGAAAGGCTATCTGTTTAAGCGATATTTCGCTTAATACGCGTCATTATCTTTGTAATTAAAGGTGCATGTTTTTTTGGTATTAGCATTTAGAGTTCGATGTTTTCAATTGAACTTCAATTAAGTTTACTCCATTCAAATAGCCGTAGAAGTGTTTTTTGTTATGATATTTTTTCAAATTTTAAACATTAGATGGCTCTCCTGTAAATTACCAATACGTCACTTATATATTTAACATATTGTTACGCGCTGGGGTTCGGGGTAAATAAAATTCTACCAAAGTACAAGTTAACACTGTATTAGCACTTAGAACGTTTAAAATACTCAACAAACACCTTAAAATGCTCAATTCACTCCTTCCGGTTCGCTTCAGGTGATCCGTTCGCTGTTTCGCTTCGAGTAGTTCTGATTACTTACTGACTGCGTGCCATCTCTGCAACGCTTTTATAATCGAGACGAAATCCCTAGAATCTCGAGAATATTCCACAAAAGTCGAGTTTTGTGTGTTTCCGCTATTTGAAAATAGATGGCGTTTTACTTCTCGAGCGTTCTAGATGCTACTAGATGGAGTAATGCCATGCTTACCGGCGTAACACTATCATTAGCTGAACAATTCGCAGCCATTATAAATATATGTATGTCATTTAAAAGTTTGTTAAAACCATAAATTTCTCTTATCTCAGGCATGAATTCGGCTTATTTGGATATTTAGAAGGACACGAGTATAAAATGTACAATACATATGACGTCCATTTTTACGCGTCTTTTGCTCTAGCGCAGCTGTGGCCCAATTTACAGGTGAGTAGTAGTACATTATAGGGCGTGTATTTTGAAAAATTCTTTTGACACTGTTAATGTCATTGTCATTTGTTTTAGGTGGCGCTGCAGTATATGTTTCGCGATACTATAGGTCTTGAAAGTGAAAAAAGTAGAAAGTCATTATATGACGGTAAAGTAGTGAAATTCAAGATCAAAGATTCCGTACCTCACGACCTAGGCGATCCGGGTAAAGTATGAATCTATACATATCAATAAAATTAGACTGTCTGTTTGTAATATTGAAATAACTTTTTACTACATGCATATGAATATATATACGGTACATACACCAAAATAACCTTTTTTACAATTTTTGTCTGTCTGTCTGTATGTCTGTTTGTTCCGGCTAATCTCTAGAACGGCTGGACCGATTTTGATGAGACTTTCATTAATAGGTAGCTGATGATATAAGGAGTAACTTAGGCTTTTTAGACTAGCTTCGCCCCGCGGCGTCACCCGCAGTTATTGTCGTACCGCGCGCAACATGGCGGGACTCGCCTACCAATAATAAAATTTAATGTTTCCGAAGCGAAGCGAGGGCGGGTCGCTAGTAAATAAATAAAAGTGTATATATATGCTTTTTTTTGTGTGTCACTTTATGAAATTTTTGTTGACAGATGGAAAGCCGTTTGTGAATATAAATTCTTACAATATCCACGATGTCAGCGATTGGAAGGATCTCAATTTGAAGTTTATCCTTCAAGTGATACGGGACTATAGAGTCTTACGTGCTTACGCTGCTCCCTTCACCGATGACAAGTAAGATAATTCAGTTTAATTTAAAAGACTAATAGGAATTAGGTGAGAAAGCGCTTATTCATTTTGTGGATGGAATTATAGCTTAATAAAAATAACACTATACTGAGATCTTAGAACTTATATCTCAGGGTGGGTGGCGCATTTACGTTGTACATGTCTATGGGCTCCAGTAACCGCTTAACACCAGGTGGGCTGTGAGCTCGTCGACCCATCTAAGCATAAAAAAAAAAATTGTTTGTAAAATTAGTTTCCATTTTGTCGCTGCCTGCCTCGTTGCGTCTTCATATGGCACAAGAGCTATGTAGGTTTTCGCGCTACTTTTGATGTCAGCTTTCCTCAGACTCCGACTTTTCTAAACGAAATCCGAATCAACGTTCAAGCATTTCCACGTTATTTTCAAACTTCAAACAAAACTGACCCTTAATAATCACTATGAGTCATAATGCGTTTTCGTTTGAAAAGTTCCTCTATCTCACTCTAACGCGGGCGTTAGAAGAGGATTGATGATTCGTCAAGTTTCCGGCAGTTTGTGAGCTTTAGTATAAACCTTTATCTGCAGCATGTCTTTCGCATGAAATAAACTTGTGAAATGAAGCAATATAAGATATTCTAATCTGAAGTACTACAAAAAAAATCCTTTACTATCCCTTTTTTATTTTATTGCTTAGATGGGAGGACGAGCTTACAGCCCACCTGGTGTTAATTGGTTACTGGAGCCCATGGACATCTGCGACGTAAATGGGCCACCCATCTTGAGATATAAGTTCTAAGGTCTCAGTATAGTTACAACGGCTGCTCCACCCTTCAAACCGAAACGCATTACTGCTTCACGGCGGAAACGGTCAGGGCGGTGGTACCTATCCGGGCATGCTCACAAGAGGTCCTACCACCAGTAAAAAGATCTTTGATACTTGAAGATCGAATATGTTTTTTTCTCACGTCTTCAAGGTTTCTCTAAACGTGACACATGACCATCACAGGTTGTACAGGTCCATGCCGTTCATAGACGACGTGAGGGAGGGCACCGAGGACGACCTGTACTCTCGCGCCACGGGACAGTGCGACGAGTCCGGCGCGCGTCCCGCCCCCGCGCCGTCCCCCCCGCCGCCCCCCGCCGCGACGCCGCAGGACCGCGCGCCGCGTGACGTCGCCGACATCCTCGAGCTGCTGTACAGAAGCGGCGAGGAGGAGGTCGGCGCCGGCGAGAGCGTCGCGGAGCCGCGCGACCCCCCCGCCAACGTGTGGCAGGACAGTCGCTACCTCGCCGACATGTACCCCGCCTGCGTCTCGCTGCTGCGCCGTGCCGCCGCCTGGGACCGCGACGGCGACGGACTCATCGAGAACGACGGCTTCCCCGACCAGACCTACGACATATGGGTGATGACGGGACCCAGGTGAGGTGTCCTTGTTGTCCTGTAGTAAAAACTTCATCTTAATACGGATCACGAAATCTATATACTATCATAACTCTTAACCGGAGGAAACTAATGGGTGGTATATTTCTATACAAATTAATCCATGGAATAACCGACACACCTAATTTCTTAACCCAGATAAAAATATCAGCCCCTAAGTACTTACCAAGAACGAGAAATATAAACCGTTGATAAGAAAGCCCGCTCGTTCGAATTTAGGTGGCTTACTCGCCCTTAAACAGAATCCTTTGAGACTACAATAATGTCCACGGTAGCGCGGTCTCGGTCAATATTCATTCGTAGCTGTCTGATTGCGCTGAACTAATTTTAAGTGATGAAATATATATTTTTTCTAATTGTCTCACAACTTACAGGAAAATTTTGTTGCGCATCATTTCCCAATTAAATGTAAATTAATCATAAGTAATTAAATGTAATCGAGTTTTAATTATATATATTTTTATTTTTGTTGTCAATGCCTGTTGAATTTTGGGACACCCTGTATATTATGACAATATATTGAAATGCGTGTTATCGTTGCGAGTGCAGCGCGTACTGCGGCGGGCTGTGGGTGGCGGCGCTGGGCGCGGTGCGGACCATGGCGCAGATCCTCGGCCGCGAGGACGACGAGCGCGAGTTCGCCGAGCGCCTGCAGAGGGCGCAGGCCGCGTACCAAGAGAAGCTCTGGGTCGGCTCCTACTACCGGTTCGATACCAAGCCGGGCAACGAAAAAGTGATAATGGCGGATCAATTGGCGGGACACTGGTATTTTTTTTATTTTTTATTGCTTAGATGTTTGGACGAGCTCACAGCCTACCTGGTGTTAAGTGGTTACTGGAGCCCATGCACTTCAGCAATGCCAGGAGCAGAGTCAAGCCGCTGCCTACCGTTGAGTACTCTTCACAAGCCTCGTTTGAAGAAGGACAAGTCATAGCGCTCGGGAAACATCGTGGAGAGGAGCTCATTCCAAAGCCGGATGGTACGTGGCAAAAAAGATCTCTGGAAACGCACTGTAGACGAACGCTGTGGCTCCAGGTAGTATGGATGAATTCTACTACGGTGAAATTTAATAAGTTCTAAGGTCTCAAGTATAGTTACAACGGCTGCCGTAACCTTCAAACCGAAACGCAATACCTCTTCACGGCAAAAATAGGCAGGGTGGCGACACCCTCCCGCGCGGACTAACAAAAGGTCCTACCACCAGTAAAAATATGGTAATTTGCGTAACGTATTTTTGTTGTGATTTCGTTTTTAAGGTAGCCATTGATGTGTTCTCTTCCACAAGGTTCCTGCGGGCGTCCGGATGGACCGAAGCGGTGTTCCCGCAAGCGAATGTGCGAAAAGCACTGAAAACAATTTTCGACAATAACGTGATGAAGTTCAAAGGGGGCAAAATGGGCGCCGTGAACGGATTTGTGGCCGAAGGGAAGGGCCACGTGCACACCGTCGCGCTGCAGAGCGAGGAGGTCTGGATCGGAGTCACGTACGGCCTGGCCTCGCTCATGGTCTACGAAGGTAACACTTGTATTAAAAAAATGTGTTTTTTTTAAATTCTTCTCCTCTGTAAACGAAGGAAAGTGGAAAGGAGGTGGTAAAGGTAAGGACCTCTTGTGAGTCCGCATGGGTAGATACCACCACCCTGCCAATTTCTGCCGTGAAGCAGTAATGCGTTTCGGGTTGAAGAGTGTGGCAGCCGTTGTAACTATACTTGAGACCTTAGAACTTATTAAATCTCAAGATGGGTGGCGCATTTACGTTGCAGATGTCTATGGGCTCCAGTAACCACTTAACACCAGGTGGGCTGTGAGATCGTCCACCCATTTAAGCAATAAAAAAAGTAGGATATTAGAGAAATTTCCAAAAATAGAATCGGTAATAATAACAAAGAGAAAACGCAAATTACCTTTATCCCCGTCGGTCAGTGTTAGCAACGTCGTCAGGTTTGAGCCCCGAGAGCTCATCTACACGCTAGGATAGCGTAGGGTAACGCCTTGAGAGGCAAATTTTTTTTGGAGGGATTTTATGACCTGGTAACTAAGACCTTTAGGTCAAGTCTTATTTTAATTTATATTCTAATTTTTATGAAAAATAATCAACTGGGATGAAATCAAATGTGTGAAGTGAGTTGATATGGGATGAAATATAATCTTAGTAAAATGGTGGTCATTTACTTAAGACTTTTTCAGTGGACTTTTTGTAGGATCCCGAGAAGTTACGTCCCACATTTGTGCACTTAAATAGACAAAATAAAACACATCACCAACTTCACTCCTCGCGTTCCCGCCAAAGGTCCCACTCGAGGCTAAAAAAAGATGTAGTGTGCAGCTCGCCTAACCTTATATTTGTAACTGCACACGCTAAATTATACAGTATTACACGAATTGTCGACTTGAACAGTTCTCTTTTATTTCACCTGCAACACTCCAATACATGGTGACCCTTAGCCAGCAGTTAAAATTTTGCAACATACGTAAAATACGAGAGTAGCTGAATAAAATATGAAGAAATATAATTATGAAGAATATTATGAAGAATAGAAGTTCGTGAAGACGAGGAATAAGAGGAAAGAAGATTTTTAAATTACAAAAAATGAAAAAAAGAAGAAAAAAAAACCCTCACATAAGATTGATTTGGATGAAGCGATGAGAACAATGGAAGAAGACAAAAAAGGGTGTTGCTGCCGGGAGCCGGGAGAATGCTCAAGCCTTATGATGAGAGGATATGCAGGGCGCCGGGAGATAAATTGTACGGGTCCGAGATGGAGCAGCTAGGAGTCAGCTCGAGACCAATGCTGAGGAGTTCATTCACCCATGCTACGTAAGATGTCATGACCTACATATACGTTGACAGTAAATACTTGCTTACTGCAATGTAAGTTTTTGCTTTGATATTGTATTTTTTTTTTTCGTTATTTTAATGTTCTCTATTACGAGTATATGTTGTTATTATTTAGTTCATGCGGAATTTCTTTATATTTAGTTTAAGGAAATTATGTCAGAATGATAGAATATTCTAATTGTGCTACAAAAATGTCAGACTCATTTGATATTAAGACTGCAATTTCCCTGTTGCCGGTAATGAATGGCCAGGAGCAGGTGACAAATCAACTTGTCGACGGT